TTATAACTTGTGTTGGGCGAGGCCGTGGTCTAGGCAACACGGAGTTTTCCTCCGTGGCCTCCCAACAATTACTCCATTCACACACAGAAGAAGGCAATGGCAAACCACTTCTGGATCATCTGCCAAGAACGTTTATGAACAGGTCCCAGTCCGAGAAAAGGATGGAAGGATCCTGTTCATATGGACCTGTCCTCAGACAGAACACTAAATAAATAATAAGATGAAGTGGTCACACTGGTGGTTGTGACACTGGCAGAGGATGAGGAGAAACTATTGCTACTGGCTGTCTCAGTTAACAGATAGTAATGAGAAAAACTTTCATACGGTAACCACGAGATCAAACATAGGAATTGGGTGCAGTATAACAATTTAGAATATCATATTTGACATAAGAAGGCTTTACTCAGAAGTCCAAGACAAAACAATGATGAGGACAAAGTAAAACTGTGATGCTACATGCCATAAAGGTGCTTGGGGAGGGGGATATATATGGCTTCTACTTTTTCTTGCTATCAATACTAATCGGATGGTGGGTGGTCAATGTTACAGCCCTGCTGTGTCCTGCATCTAGAAAAGAATCGATAACCATTTTCTGAGGTCCTGGGGAACTTTGTTTGCTCCAGACCCAGTCTTGACACAAAGTCTGGGGATCGAACCCTAGTCGTCTTGTCTCTATCCAGTCACTATACTGACTTTGCTACTTGAGATCTTCAAGAAGTGAGACAGGTGATAGTTACAATTTCATTAGATGAAATTGCCATCGGAAACTTTCAGCAACTGGGTATCACATGAATAAATAAATTAAATTCGTGGCGTAACAGCTCCAGAGAGCCAAAGCCGACTAGCTTGACTGCTGGCCTCACGTTCACATGCCTAAGCAGAGGTGAACGATCATCCAACCAGATATAGGGTGACGTGTGGTCAGCACGACGAACCCTCAGCCATTGCTAGTTTTCCTGGCCAGATTACGCTACATATCGTAGCTCTCCAATTTCCTCACGATGCTGGGTTGGCATCCGTCCCGTACACTGGTCGAAAGCTCATGAGAAAATTTCTTCTCCCCTGAAACTCGAACCAGCGCGCATTCCGTATCGCCGGTCCAAAGCATGATGCCTCAGACTGCGCGGCCATGGCGCGGGATGAATAGTATCATTTGGCCAGTTAAAAAATGGAGTTGTCATTTACTTAAAAATCTCATGAAAGTTTTCAGATTGTACTCATGCCAGCCAAAATGAGTGTTATAGAAGAGTTTGACTTTGTTATATTTTTGAATGTGAAATGTTGCGCCCTCGTTGATATACTGTAATGTAACTAAACACCATCACATGGTATAGCAGACTGTGATGTATTACAAATTTGTTTCATAAATGAGTTTGCACAAACTTCCTAATCTGGACTATTTACACTGGATGACAAAAATAACTTGGCACTTATGCAATGTTTCACAAACCATTTCCCTTCCTAAAGCATTTTGGTACATGAAAGGAATGATAATTTTCAAAGCATGAATAATAATAAACATTCCCATAATTTATTCTTTTACATACTTCACTATCAAAAATGTTTGTACTTGTTATTTTTGTTAAGAGATATTTATATTCTAAAGCATTTAAGAAGTGGTTACACACAGTTATATTATGATTATGTTACTGATTCTGATATTGTGTCATATTCATTTCGTTACTTCATCGGCCTGATGACGGAGGCAGCATGACCTCTGAAAAGTTGGTAAACATCGACCAGACTACACAGCGCAACAACCCAGACGACAGCAACCTTCAGACAAATTATTTGATTGGATCCACTACCAGCAAACAGTTTACCTTTCCAGCCACGTCCGTAAGATGATCATCCAATTTCTGGTAATTTCTGCTGATTAGAGTCAGCTGATGTCTTGCAAACACTAATACAGGTAGAGTAATCATCAATAAAAATGCAAGTTTCCATCCGAACACAAACGCAATAGCAAGTGCTGAAATAAGTGTCAGAACGGCCCCAGGAACCTGTCCAGCCCGCAGTCCGGCTGCCTGGAAGTACACAAACACAAGAGAGAAAAGTAAAGTGGGAAAGTCAGTTAGTTACATGCACAAACAGCTTACCTTTCCAGCCACGTCCATAAGATGATCGTCCTGTTGCTGGTAACGTCTGCTGATCAGAGTCAGCTGATAACTTGCAAACACTAATACAGGCACAGCAATCACCAATAAAAATGCAAGTTTCCATCCGAACACAAACGCAATAACAAGTGCTGAAATAAGTGTGACAAGGGCCCCAAGAACCTGTCCAGCCCGCAGTCCGGCTGCCTGGAAGTACACAAACACAAGAGAGGAAAGTTACATGCACTGCAAATATCTGAAAACAATTTGCAAAAGAAACAAGAACTGTTGTGGATTTTGTGCTCCTGTTACAAAGCACAAGCTATGTAGCTTAAATTCATACAGGATCTTTGTGAAAAATTTATTGCTTCCAGCAACTCAGAAGACTAAAATAGGGATGGAATGGGGATAATATTTAGACAGATTGAGATCTGTGTTAATGGTAGAAAACTTGGAGGTTCTACTGTCTAGTGTTAAAATTTAGTCATGAAACAAGTAACAAAAGATATTTTAATAACATAAATAAGGTTCACGAAGATAAACTGTGGTTTAGGGACAATAAAACAGTAACACCATGATGACTGGGAATTTAAAATGACCAGACTTGTCACTGACTAACAAAGACAATCCTAACTTACTTTAAATGTCTCAAGCAATCAATGCAGATAACACTGTTCTTTTCAAAATTTATTAAGAGAAGTTTCTTCCAATTTTTGCCTTTTCCATCACACTCGATTATCAATGAAAACAACGCGTAAAGAGTGAGACTATGAAACTTGTAACCATTCAGTTGTGTAAGGGAATGATTGTACTCTGTCTTGTATTTAAAATACCTAATATTAAATTAATAATTTTATCTGATGTTTTAGATAGGTGTGAAAGTTGGTCTCTTAGCAGTAATGTTCAGAATATTTTGATCTGAGACTGAGGACATAACAGGGAGATGGAGCGAATGAGTTTAATAATTTGTGCTTTTCGCAGAATATTATTAAAGTGACCAAATCAAAGGGAATCAGATCGGAGGAACATATAACTCACATGAGAAATACACATAAAATTTTAGTCAGAAAACCTGAAGAAAAGAGGCTGCTCAGGAGACGTAGTCATATCTGGGAGGCTAATATTAAAATGGATGTTAAATATGTGGTGACTGAAGGTGTGTGCCGGATTCAACTGGGTTAGGATGAGGCTCAGTGATGGATGCATACAATGTAATGAATTCTCAGGCTCTGTTGTAAAATATGGGATTTTCTTCACCATCTGAACAACTATCAGCTTCTCAAGAGGGACCCCATGGAATTAGATGAGGGGGTGGCTGTATTCCTGCACTTTCCTTGTGCTCATGCATGCATCTTTTTAGAATGCATGGAAGTTTAATGGACAAAAGAACAAACTTTTAAGTAACACGCCTCTTTTATTTGACGACATTTAGATATAAGGAAAAATTAAGTTTCTTGGGCAGCAGAGATAAACTGAGAGCCTATGGTATATTTTATGCAAATACTTCATGGAGTACCATCTAAATAATCAGCACTATATTATCATCTAAATAATTACCCAGTTGGGCTAAATAAAACAAGGTTTATACATACTGATTTCACTAGAGGTGCATCTCGAGCTAACTGTGTGCACAGTTTATAAGGAGAATTATCATCCTGGTCCATCCAGCTGACAGATTGGTGGAGTATATTTGTAAATGCAAGGAGACGTAGCCTCTTCACTAACTTCTCACACGCAGTCGTCATATACATGCCCTGAAGATAGGCGCTGAAACCTGCTCCGAACGCCAGCACGACAAACATCACTGTCCAGAACAATGCTGACTTCTTGAGTTCTTGACCAGAGAGCTGAAAAGTCTGGGAATATAAAATATTACAACTTATTGATCAAAAGCTAAAACATAATTATCATGCACAGAGTAATGAAGGGGCATCTTTGTAATATACACTCTTTAAAAAATTCTGGCAGTAATGCCAAGTTCTGCTATTGTGATTATAATTTCTCGCTGCCAAAACATCTTGAAATTCCTTACTCCTTGAAATACAGACATTATCCATAATCATAATGTCTGTATTTCGGAAGTCTTTGTTATTCTATACAGAATGATTATGATGGCCCCATTATCCATTGGATTAAACTGGCATATAAATATCAGACTGTTGATTTGTTGTTTTATCACAGCAAATATTAAGTCTTACTGATGCGTTCAATATAGGTATTGGGCTTGCAAAATGATTTGCGCTGTACAGTAGCCTGCATATGTGTTCTCAAAATTATTCCAAGAAATAAATATTTTGAACTTAGAATGAGGGTACAAGAACATGAAACTACAGCAACACACCCACAAGAAGGCAAGTGTACCCAAATACTTTAAGATCAAACTTAAAACAAAATATTAGTCCTATTTTAAGTATGCTGATATTTTGACTAATTTTGTTCTAGGAGCAATAGTTAGTTGGAATATTCAAATCATGGAAAGCTTCAAACTTTCTCTAGCCTTCCACAGACTGACTGTTTCACAAATTACAGTTTGATAAACTTCACACCAGAGAGCTAAGGATTAAAACTAACACATTCAGAACAGTATAAATTGGTCAAAACTAAAATATCGGTCTATTTAGACTTCTACTTATTTCAATTTCAGAACAGTATAAATTGGCCAAAACTAAAATATTGGTCTATTTAGACTTCTACTTATTTCAAGAACATGAAATATTTAGATTTGTTTTGCTGTAGTGAGTTCATGAATAAACTAACTTTGACTCTGACCAATCACATGTCACTGCATATGTAATAGTACTGCTCTGAATACATGCAGTTATCTTGAAACATTAAAATACATAACCAAATTTATAAATTTAGTAATGGAAAATCCCATTTTATTTCACTGCTCGTATGTTTGACTTCTGACCATCTTCACATAACTTACATTAAACATCTCTCCATAGAAAATGGCAAACATGGGCATAATGGCTCCTGTGCACATGCAGCCAAAGAATCCAAGAGACAGAGCCTTCCACTCTGGTGAATTCAGTTTCAACAGCCTCCACATTGGACCTTTACTGCCTTTTGGTCCATGACGTAAATTCTGAAAACATACGAAACATTCATAGTACATGATGTATTTCTGTGTACACATAAAAATGTCATGATGACAGCTTTGATTTGGGATATTCCTCATAACGAAATTTTTGTTCATAAATTTTTAATACATCAAATTACATATTGTATTTAGGAAGTATAAAAATAGAAATTAGATGAGATCAAATTAAAATTCAAACAACAGATCAGATGTTACAAGCAGAGTACATTTCAATGTAAGGTAAGAGGAATTACAGTGCAATCCAAGAAAATGCAGAAACATCATTCAGGACATGTTAAGAAATGGGAGAGGACGGACTGCGGCAAAACGTGATAGGGCCGGCAAAGTAGTGAGCTCTTTGCAACACATCTACACTGCACAATTAACCACTGCATCTCAGTAACATACTGCTAAACCCAGTAAACATTAAAGTCTGGTCCGCAGCCCCTTGGTTAGGGGTTTTAAATTCTTATTTCCATATTACAAAAGATTTTGTAGAAGATGATCAAGTAAGAAAGTTTTTGACATTCTAACACATCTTTTTCAGTCCATCATCTTTCTGTAACTCTCCTGAGGAGCCTAGTGTCCAAAGTACAGGTTTCAGTTCATAACATGTTTTAGGATACAGCTGGTTGTTATACTGTACGTCGCTGAAGAACCATACTACCTCTTTCACAGCGAGAGCCAATTGTTCAATTGATGAACCAAGTGATGGAATTCTATTTCTAGATATTGGCGCCTTTGTCATCTTGAAATTGTTGTTGTCCTCCACTGGATCTTCTAATATATTTCTGCAGCAGACACAAAACCATCTCACTTTATTTCATTTATTCAACTAATATGTCACCTAAACAACAGTAATTTCTACCTGACAGTGCAAGGTGGTATGCAATACTGGTATCTTTTGTTAAAACAAAAAAAATTATTAAAATATGTAAAAACTTTCAAGCACAGCCTCAAAGCACCTCCGCCTTCTACTTTTCTGGAGAAAAAAAATCAGTGCTAAAATTGCTATCAACAAATTATCGCCACTGGTAAGTGCCTGTTTCCATGTCTGTTTCAAAGCAAAACTGAACCTTTCACTACATTCAAATTACTCTTCTTTCTAAATATGTTAACATTCTTCTCACCCGACTTCTTCTCCACAACTTTTTTGCGCTTGTATGAGACAGTAGTAATGGCCTTTCATCGACAGCAATTCTGAATGAGTTCCATGCTCCCTCACTGCTCCATCCTGCACACAAGAACAGACACTAATATCACACCATCCCTTGAGTTAGTGAAGTTGGGAAAGTACAGCTGATTATGATAAGAATGTATTTAACAATTTTTTTCAAATTAATCATCAGTCTTCTTGTCTCAAAGACTGTATTAAAAAAAATAATTCAGTGAATCCTGCTCTGAATCAGCAGAATACAACTGATAAATTTTCTGACCCTTAAACCATTCATTCCACACCTTACATTAAACAATTAAATGCACCTAACAGGTGTTAATTACGTGCAAACATTTTCAAGCCTTTTATATTTTAAGAATACACATATTAAGTTTAAACTGCCTCAGTTAGGTTTAGTGGCTGTCAGATAATTCAGCATTCCTTAATTTTATGTGCCATACAGTTTCTTAGCATCACACAGAATTGTCTCTGTAGATATACAGGGAAACTTTAAAACATTCCAAGATATGTGCCATAGCTCAAATTCTGTGGCACAAAGACCCCCATACATGGAGCCGCATTCGACATGCAAACCTTCAGCAGCTATACCATTCTGTCAGTGTTCAGACAGTTGTTCAAAAGCCACCTGAATCTAAGTCACATACTTTATGTGACAGCCCTTCAGTAATTTCTTCAACTGAATTTGCTACTGTGAAAAAAAAATGTAAAATCTTATTTATGCAAGTGGCACAACACAATAGTCTCCTTTAAATTAATTTTATAAACATAATTTATAATTAAACTGAAAATTAAAATAAATTACAAGAGAAGATATCCGTCTTCTGGGTTATTGCGCTGTGTAGTCTGGTCGATGTTAACCAACGTTTCAGAGGTCATACTGCCTCCATCATCAGGGCGATGAGTATGAAGATTTCCGTCTTCTGGGTTGTTGCGCTGTGTAGTCTGGTCGATGTTTACCAACGTTTCTGAGGTCATACTGCCTCCATCATCAGGGCGATGA